GAAAAAACATGAAAAGAAAAAACAATAAAGGTTTGACTCCATCTTGAACAAAAATCATACGTTATATTGTTTCATATTTCTGTAACAAATTTCTGTAATTTTCATTACTTGACTCAAAGTGAAGCAGGAAGTGACATCAAAGGGGAACTCTTCAAGAAAGAAACTCGTTGATCTTTGTTAATTGTCACTACTTTGATTCTTCATCTTTCTGATGACAAAAAAATAAAATAAAAAAACATCAGATTCTTCTCTGCAGTCTGTTGTTAGCCCTTACAGCAACACTCTGTTCACATGCAGATATTCCCCTTTGACATCACTTCCTGTTACTTCACATGCAAACAACTCGATAAATGTTCCTCTCAGCAACATGAGATTTGTTTTCCAATATTTTATCAGTGTTGTCTTTCTGAAAATGCATTAATTTTTGTTACAAAAAATTAACATCACAGGCACTTTAAGAATGTGTTAGGAATACTCCACACCAAACTGAGTTTTCTCAGGCTGAGGCTGTGGCAGCCATCTTGGACCAGGTATTCTAAAAGTTTAATCAGTTTTAATTATGCATTTAAGGATGGCTTTCAGAGTTTTATAAAATTCGGTCCAATAGATATGAAATATTTTGCAAACAGAAGCAGACAGTTATATAAGCAATCATCCTCTGGTATGAAAGGCAGAAGATACCAAAGTGTTTCTTTTGAGTGTTAACTGTTTTGATTTTCTTGCCTATTTTAAGATTTTAGATCCTCAATAGTTATTAAACCTCTTTAGGCAAAAGTGTTGTTTAATAATGTTTTGAATGTTTTTTAGGGGATTCAAATGTTTACACTGCAGTTGGAGCACATCAGCTCTGGGGTTTGTGYGCTTTTTAATATTGTATTGCTGAAATAAGTAAGGTCTTCACTGAGAAATATATACTGCATAAATAATAAACCAGGATAAGATTYGCTCCAAGTGCAGACATCGACCTTTAAAACCTCGGTAGCCAAGTAACTACATTTGTAAGAACATGAACTTTTTCCTACTTTATATCAGGTCATCTAAGGTTTTTAAATAAGGACTATGTGTCGACTCAATGTATTATTTATTTAATGAGTTTCAACTCTGTAAAGATTGACTTTAAAGCATTTTTTAACCATAATGAGCGCTTTGTTCTTTATATTTTTAGTGTTCAAACCCTTTTTAAAATGTGCTTAAAGCTCATTAAAAAGCAGCACTCAGTACTCTAAAGTGTTGCAGATATTCGAGAGCAGCTTTTCCACAAAACAATATCATGAAGGAACGTGCAGCTGTTGTTAAATAAGCCAAATGGGAGTCACAGTTTGTTGAATTATTTAGCTACTTAAAAAAAATCGAATCATCATATAAAGCAGACAGAGGCCGTTTTACACTAAAATGTTGCACTAAACTGGCACAAAAAAAAGAGGCCCATCAGCTTCTAGCCCCATAACTTACCAACAGGACAGAGATGTGCAACAAAGGCTCATCAGTCCTGCTTTGAATGGGYGGGGTGTGAAAGGAGCTATAAACTACGAGGGCTCGGCTACTCGACACTAATACGTGATTTGGCTCTAGCACACRGTCTAGACTAAAAGAAAATCTGTTGCCTCCTGCTCTTTACCGATGACGAGGAAATCAGCAAAAACCACGGCCAGCAGTCCACCAATCAGAACAGCTGAAGGGAGAGACAGAGAGCCAGTCAGTTCAGGCGAGTTGGCTGCTCCCCCCCTCCTCAGCAGCTCTTCGGGCTGAGAAGAAGGGGCTACACTTGAAAAGGAAATTGGATTTGCCCCGAAAGGGAAAAGGGTGAGAAAAAGAGGAGGAGGGGGAAGTTAGAGTTGGAGGATTGCTTGTTCTCAACGGGTCAAACGGGGCTAAGCAGCTCGGTAATCAACCTGCACTATGTGAACGTAGGACCCCCAGAAAAAAAAAAAACAAGGAAACAAAAACAGGAGGCAACAAGGGGGCAGAGTTCTGCTGAGTGGTTTTTAGAAGGATGAGAGGAAACAAAAACACTTTCCCTCACCTATTAAGACCTCTTTTCTCTCCAGGATGTTTTTCTGCGGCAGCTGAGCAGCAGAACTTCCTCCGTCCACCGTGTTGCCGAGCAAATCGGGGTCGACCGGCATCACGCCCTGGACCACACCGTTGCGCCGATCATCTCGGATCTCGAAATCTCCGCTCGGTCCTGCGGGGCCCACGTCATTGGTGTTCTCCTAAAAAAAGAAAAAAAAGAAAGAAAGAAGAAGTAAGTCTTACAGAAAATTTTATGTTCAGTGTGATTTAATTTGTTCCAAAGAGCTGGACGTGCCAACACACGTTTGGYTTCGAAACAATACAGCCTCTGTACGTCGAGGCCGGTGGAAGAGCGGCTTAACGTCACAGGAATATACACACTTCATAAAAACTGGCAGCTTAATTACAGTGAGGAGAAACGAGTCAACTTGTAATGAAATCCTGTTTTAATGGAGTGCAGATGCAAATAAACAAGACCAATCAGGGAAAAACCACAGCGGTCTAAATAAATAAAACATCAGAATTAAAATGACAATCAGAAGGGAAAAGTTGCTGAGACTCATCTGTGCTGGTACAGAAATAATAAAAGCTGCTTTAACGTCATGACTCGCCCTCTAACRCCAGTTTATGTCGTATTTGGGGAAAGATGACGGCTTCAGTTTAGATGAGATTTAAGGGGAGGAGGTTATTATCCTCCTTATGATTGTCAAACCCACTGAGGTGATCATAGGAATAAATACTGGCTGCGTAGCTAAAACCTGATACAAAGCATTCATCTTCTGATGCCACAGGTTCATTTATCACCATAATCCTGAGCGCTGCACTTTGTTTCCTGTCAGTCCCACAAACACGTCGCGCTTCTGTGGGAAATCCTCAAAGTGGGAAAGACAAACTCTGCCTTTGTTTCTTAAAATCTAGGTAAAAAATCTGAACACTGTAGAGATTATTAGGATTAAAAAATAGTAATAAATATGTTACTTATTAAATGATGAACGTAATCAATTTGAATTAAAATAGGCAAACTGTTTTGTATGAGAAAGTCTGAAAGAAATAAATGAGAAGTATTACATAATCGCTGGCTTTTGGTGAAAAACTAAAAGAATAAAACAGAAATTTGTCCATTAACTCCCCTATAATAGCTGTTTTTTTAATGTCATTAAGCAAAAACTCAAAGAGTGGCATCTAACTAGYGGTAAGTGTTAAAATAAATCAGTGTCTGTATTTTTTAAGAACTAGTTACTTGTTAAACTCCTTCAAATAAAAACTTTTCTATCACTGGTTAAATTTACAAACATACTTGGTTAGATTTCAGACCAAAAAACATCATTTGAGMTGATAAAACCCTTTAAAAATGCTGATACAGAATAAACAGAATGATCTTTTTGGCCAAATAATGGATGCAACCATGCTGGTCTTGACCAAAGTGATTCGTTTAATAAACGAGCTGATAGCTTTTAAAGGGAAAAATTGTTGCAGTTTGTGTCTACTTTTCATTTTATTCCTGACGCTGTTGTCCGTCACCCACAGAGGATCTGTTTCAGAGTGTTTATATTTTCAAATGCACTGCACTGTGTCAAACCAACCAAACYCTGTGAACATCCTGTTCACCCCCTCGCCTGTGGTGGCGCTGCACCGACAACCACTGAAGGAAACGACGTGAAAATATCTGAAGCCACTGAGCGCAACTTCCTTCTTCATGATAATTAAACAAAAATGGGGTGATGTCAGACTTTAATGGTTGTAAGATTCCCTTTTTKTCTTTTGCAAATGTGCCAAACAAACACTCTTTGGTTGTATTTACCAAGAATGCCCTGTGCTGTAGTCCACTTCCTACTTTTGAAGCGGTCCCTGGTCTATTTTCACGTATGCAATCGAACGGCACCTGAGTTCACTTCGAGCTGAGACCAGGATTGTAGGTGGACCAGAGTTTGATTGCACATTCACACCTCCCCAAACAAACCAGACTTTCTATCTAACTAGAGTTTGATTAAAGTGGACTAACCAGGGCTTAGGTAGTCTTTTCAGCTTTCCTAAAGCTAGCTGACCAACACATCACATCAGTTTGTTTATGTCAACAGTGAAAAGCCAATAAATTGGCGATTTTAACCATAYAACCCTGATTTTCATTTCTAACTTTCCCGTTCAGCCGACTCACCAAACCACTGAGCTCTCATCACACTAACAGGCTCCAATTAAAAGACAGGAGCAGTGAAGCAAAACCCAAAGGCTTTAAAACATGAGATCGAGGCAGGAATATACGGGGATAGCTTCATGTTTCTCTCTGGAGATGCCATGAAAACCCAACTTCTGTGGCTGAATACAGGTTTAGACTCAGCTTGGTGGATTACACCCTGATGAGGGGAAAAACACGTAATTTAAATAATCATCTGTATTTTTTATTTCGGTGATTCCACGAAGGCTCTCTGTTCATTTCTCTGCCCTTGTTTGTTGATCAGTTTGGTCGATTTTCCAATCAAACATGAACGAATGATTTACAGGGTCTCACCTGCGTCGTTGAGGGCGGCTGTGGGCGTGTCGTTCGTGTCGTCGGCACCGCCTGAGTGGCTGCTGTTATGGGGACCCTGGGCCTAAAGGCGATCCTGGTTCTGATGGTGGTCGATGCTGTGGTGGTGGTGGGTGAGGCCGTGGTGGGCTCAGGTGTGGTCTCTGCTGTCGTGGACGTATCTCCTGTTGCGGTGGTTTCGGAGTAAAAGGAGGTGGACTCTGGYGGCAGGTACATGTCCTCCTCCTCCTCCTCCTCTGTGGTGCTCAGGTCATCGAATCCGGCAGAGACTCCTGGGCTTTCGGCGGTGCTGGCAGCCTGGTTGGTGGTCACCGCGGGGAAGACGGCAGGCGAGCGAGGGGCGGCGGTGGTCTGAGCAGCCCGGAGACGCTCCAGCTCCCTCTGCCTTTCCCGTTCCTTCTCCCGTTCTCTCTCCCGCTCCCTCTCACGTTCTCGTTCTCGCTCCCGCTCCCGTTCCCGCTCCAGCTCGCGGACCCTCTCCCGCTCCCTCTCTCTCTCCATCTCCCTCTGCTTCTCCCTCTCCAGCTCCAGCTCCTTCTCTCGCTGGATCTCCAGCTCCTTCTCGAAGAAGGCTCCGCTCTCCCCGTCGGCCTCGGTGGGCAGCGGGGTGGTGGCGGGGTCCTCGGGGCTCGGACTGGGGCTGGGCTCGGCCGCGGGCGGGGCCGAGGGGGCGGGGCTCGTTGCCTGCGTGGTCGAGAGGAGGAGAGTCTCCTCTGTGGTGAAAGCCACGCGCACGGACGTCGGCCTGATGCTGATGTCAGGAACTGGAAGAGCTGAGAAGAAAAAGAATCAGACAGTTACACTCTGGAAGTTTACACAAAGACTCTTCTGCAGGAACAAATGTTCGGAGAGGATAAAACTAAAAAATGTTGGATTTAAAATCTTGTCTGGTCAGRGGGATGGAATGGGGGACTGGGCTTGAGAAAATCCAGTTTAGACAAAGACAAATGTCCAGCTTAATGCATTAAAGTAGACATATCATGCTTTTAAATCCTTCTTTATCACATTAAAGTGGAACTGCAATGTTTTGGTCTGAATTCCTCCTTATTGTAACTCCACAAGCCCCTCTTTTCTCAGGTATGTCTCAGATCAACTTGTTTTGACGCTGTCTTATTAAATCCAAACTGCTTCATACCCTGCTCCTTCCACCCCGTTCAGATATATATATTTTTTGATAGCAGAGATACAATAATCTATTGGCAACAAGGGAAGAGCCTTATATATTGGAGCCAGAGTCTGAGCCAGAGGAGAATGAAGACGACGAACCTGCAGAACCACAGATTTGTGAAATTGGTAAGTTGGACGTCTATGACCTTGTTTATCAGCTTCACAGCAAMTACTGTGACGTTATTGTTCWAAGAACGCAATMGAAAATAGAGAAAACTGAACAAAAAGGAAACATATGGCCAAAAACAGAATATAAAAGATATCTTCGCAGCACCTGGAGAAACTAAGTTCTACTTTTCTGCACTCCTAGAGATTTTTATTGGATAAGGTGCTACTTAAAAAACTTGAGCATTTTCATCTTGATTGGACAAACCAGCACTCAAACCTGTATTTTTCTTTCTTTTCTTGGACCATAAACACATCATGACCAAGCATAGTTAAAAAAACATTCTATATGTTGGTGTATAATGTTTTTAGAGAAAAACTGGAAACAGTAGGTCCAACTTGTGAGRCTGAATGAAAAAAATTTCCCTTGTTGACATATTTTAATTAATTTGTTAATAAAAAGTTTCTGCGCTGCTATATAGTCGTAAAMCCCTCTATCAAACTAGAATGGATTAAGAGACGGCCTCAAAACAAGTTGATCTGAGAGACATCTCAGAAAAGGGGTGAAAGAGGGGTTTGTGGAGTTACAATAAGGAGGAATTCAGACCGAAGCATTGCTTTATATAGACACCAACTGAATGATTTAATGTCAAAAGGAAGGATTTAAAAGCAGGATGTGTCTCCTTTAAGAAACAGGTTCCTCAACAACATTTAGTTTAAGACATGTTTTATCTGCAAATAGATCTAAGTTTTATTTTGAAAGTCAAGTTTTATCCCCAACTTTCTGAGACGGCTTCTTTTAAACGTCACTACAGTGGATTCATCGACTAACAGTTGGCCGTATTTGTCTTGTCACATTACTTAGACCTAAATGATGACTTAGCTGAAACTGAGTTGTAATTTATATCCCATTTGGCTGTCTGACAAGAAGAAGTGAACAAAATGTCAATTAGAGCAAAGACTGTTAGGGGTTGGGTTAAGATGTCAGAGCGGATCTTTTACAAATAACTACAAGAAGCTGGTTGCTCTTTTTTCTCCTAACAAGGTGTTTGTGAGATTATTTTTCTTTCATTTTGTTTTTTCAGCATCTTTAGGAAGCCCACTTGTGATGCATAGATTTTCTTTAAGTCCATATTGAAGAGAAGGGAGGAGACGAACAGCTCTGGGTCTGACAATAACGTCACACCGCCTTTCATCGTGTTATAGCTGAGAAGCTACTTGTGCTGAAAGAGAAGCAAATTGAATTTGTAGATCCAAAGACACGAGGAGAAGCAGAGGATATGGAGAATATAGACTCCTACGATGCAGCTTACTGTATGTTTAAAGCAACAGACGCCACAAAGTGCCTCTGCCGAAGCACATGTAACACACATCTGTTGACAAAAAAACGAAGCTATTCTTTGGAAAGGTTTGCCTCTACATCACGGCTTCAGATGGAGCGATTTACCAGGCTGCTGTTTAGACCGCAGGGGGTGCCTCTGCTGCACTCTCCTGTGCTGAATCCTAATTTATTTGATGCTGGAGCGGAGGGGCAGCCCCCGACGAAGTGGAGCCTGATAAGAGCGAGCCGCCGRACAAGCTTTGGGGTGCCAGATCAGAAAATCAGACTGAATTACACAGACGTGGTTTACGTTAAGTAGGTAATTCCTCGACACACAAACTCCCGAGGAAGACTGGCAGATCGTTGGACCCAACTGCTCGTGTGATCGTCTAATCTGTGTGGACTGTAATCTGATTAGAGGAAAGACGATCTCGGGGAATCGAGCCATGGGTTAGTGTTTGTTTATGAGGGCGTCTGAGGTGTTGTTTGGCTAACRAGCCAAACGGCAGTTTGATGTGTGTGCGGGTGTGTATGGCCTCAAAGACAGGAAGCAGAGGGAGGGGAGGGGTGGAGGCTTCGGGGTCAGCAGATTGAAACCAAGCAACTGTCGAGGCTTGAAAGAGCCAGGGCGTGAGTGCGTAACCTCACGCGCGTGCACAATACGAAAACAGCRCGCGCACTCACCGCCAGAGCCGGAGCCCGAGTAGAGGTCCTCGTCATCGTAAAAGTCGTCCGTCGTCGAGCCCTCGTCATCGATGGGTGGAGACCACGTCTGTCCCTGCTGCAGGACACAAGAGGGAGGAGGTGCAAATGACAAAAGATTAGAGTTATTCATCACGAGCGGCTGAGCTGCTCATCACTTTATTCAAAAGAGAAACCACTTTGGCAGATTACATCTACACACACACACACACACACACACACACACACACACACACACACACACACACACACACA